AAAAAATATCTTATTATTTTTGTTATCACGATAACAAAAATATCAAGACATTTTTTCGAGGTATTAAAAAAAATGTGCCAATAAATGAACAATCTATTTGTATTTTTCTAAAAATTACTTCATTAATTATTACTCTTTGCTTTTCTTATTATATATAACTTTACCTTTAAGTTATGTGGGGGGAGGGGGCTGGCACAGAAAAAAAAAATTACCTGTTACTCACAATTTTTGAATGAAGACAATTAGTTAAATTTCTTCTGCGTGCGATTCAATAAGTTTTTTTCATAAATCAAGTTATATTATAATGTAAAGAAATCACGAGTAGACTATAACATCTGCTGATGACACTAATATTATGTTGAATATATTTTTATAACAGAGGTTTCATTATGCACGCGCACATTACAGATTCCGTTAAATAAATATTAAGGCATGTTTTAGTTTAATGACAGTCTGTATTTTTTACTAATGAATATGTATTTTTCTTTATAAAACAAGACAAACTAGTATATAAAAACCTTGTATATTTCTATTCTCTCTAAATTGTTTAAAGTTCCAATATGGATTGTATTTTGAAGGACAAAAGATTTACTTTAAAAACTTTTAAATCTTAGGACTTTGCTGGATGCAATGATCACAGGAAAAGAGAAGACTTACGGTATTAAAATCTAATGTAAGTTATGTGATCTTCATCAAAATAAAATATTATCCAAAAACAATGGTGCCGTAATGGCAGCTGCCCTACAGTTTATAAATAACACAAGTCATGTTAAAATATTTTAATTAAGTTGATATATAAAAAAATGAAAATATAGTTCAATAAATAAATTAAAACTGTTCTTAACAAAGATTATCTCATATCTATTCTTTTTTTATTTTATTAAGTTAAATTGCTTACAAACGAAAAAAAAAAAGAGTTTTGTAATTATACGTAGAATGAAAATACTTTTGAGTTTGTTTATAAGTTAAGGAACTTAATTTTTAATAAACAAATTTTTATGAACGTTTATTATAAACAGATACGATTCAAATTATTAAATATACTTATATTATTTTAGTTAAGTATTTTTTTAAGTTTGCACAATTAAAGTTTTGCGAAGAAGTATTTGTTTTTTGTTTTAAGAATAATTAACAAAAGAGTTTGAATAATTAAGACTTTTATATTTAACTTAATTTTTTTTTTAATTCCCTAAAATAAAAAAAAAAGATTTAATTGTTAAAAACGATTTTTCTCTATAGCTCAGTTTCTTTGTGATTTGTTTAAAATGTAAAACACTTTTACAATAACAAAAAAATTTATGAATTAAATTCCTGGCGAACGCGTTCTAAACTATGTATCAAAAATATGCTCAAAGCAGACAAAACTTTTGTATATTTTTATATAACGCAAGTTATGACGCCAAGCAAGATAAATTTAAAAAATATTTAAAAACATAAATTATTCTTTGCTAGTCAAAACAAAATCGCTGTTTAAATAATTAACATGTTTTTTTGTTTATCAATGTTAATATTTTTTATTTACTCCAGAAATTTTTAAAAATAAAAAAAATCATTATTTTTTTTTATTCAATAACGATTTATAAACAATAATTATTCAAAAACAAATTTCAGAAATAATTAAAATATATATATATAAATTTTTTTTTACTAAATAATATTGAACTAAAATTAATAATAAAATAACAATTGAAAACATTACAAACTTTTCATAATAAATTTACATTTAAAACATTTATAGTTATTTGAGTTAATTGCTAAATTGAACTAGTTAGCGGTTATTTATTTATTGCGGTAGTTAAAACACTTAATGTCTATAAAAAAAAATAAAGATAACTTTATGACGTTAAAATCGCGTTAAGCTAATGCATTAAGCACTTTTTTATTTAAAACAAGGCCTGAAGTAGCATCTTTAGCTGGACATCTGTATCTAGGATGCATCATATTTCTGCAAAAGAAGCAGGCTTTATTTTTAGATGAGTTGTTACTATTAGGAATAGCGGCAGATGTTGTGGGAATCTCTGTATTTTCATTAAAGACGGATGCAATAAAAGATGGCTTTTGATGAAAGGAAGATACATAATTTTCAGAATACTTTTGAGCAGATTATTAGGCTCTGGCTTTATCAAGCATAACCTCTAATGTCATCTGACGAATTTTATTTGAAACTATACCACTGATAAAAGAGTCCCGAATTGCTTCTTCTTGGTATTGTAATGCAGTAACAGTTTTAAAGTTACAATCCTTAGCAAGTAATTTAAGTGTTTGAATATATTCATCAAATGACTCAGCTGGTTGTTGTCGATGCGTTGCTAAATAATGTTGAGCAAATATTGTATTCGGTGGTTTGATGTAGAAATTGTTCAATGTTTCTACTGCTGAATCATATGTGTTACACTCACTAAGGTATTTTAAAATCTGATACGATATAAAGTTGTTTAAAATTTTAAGTTTGTCAACACCCTCCTAGGGCAATGCGTCCAAAAAATACTCAAAAGTTCTTAACCGATGCTCGTACTCCTGACTACTGGATGAAGTATTTGGAGGTGTCTTAAAACGTGAAGGTTGTAGAGCTTTGTCCATTGTTGTATTAATTTCAAGTATTAACATTTACAGCCAATTGTGTGTAATAAGTTGATAAAATTGTTGTAAGTGAAGGGTACACAAAGAAACAATAATATAATTTTTTTATCTTTTTATCGACTAAACAATAAGAAATATTAATAAAACAAAGACAATAGAATATATATATATATGTATATATATATATAAATATATATATATATATATTTACATTATATAAATATATATATATATATATATATATATATATATATATATATATTTACTTTATTGCAGTGTAATTTTGTTAAATTAGTTATTATTTTAAATTTATATGTTTTAGTATACAAGATTTGAAAAAAGGAAATGCTTCAAATTTGCAAAAGACTTCTATACAGGGTATATATGTATATACATTGTGTTTTCTTATATAAAGGTGATCAAAAGGGTTTTGTTATATTTTTGGATAACAACAAGCTTCCCAGAGGACTACTACCACGCTACAGGGGAAATCGACTACACATCCTTTTTCACACGTGTGGAGTCTTAATTTATTACTATGCTCTGTTGAGAACTTTCCTGCATTCTGGTGTGTTTTCATGTGGAGGACTAACAAATAGCTTGCCCCTAGACTTTACATCAGACTTTGGTAAACTGTTCTTTTTTTTTTCGTGTTTGTATATTCATTTTTAGGTATACACGAGCTGTGTGCAATAGGTTTAATGGGAAAATTATTAAATGGTCCTTGGATGACCAATTTCTATGTTACACAAAGCCAGGGATTTGACTATTTGTCTGGTGATAAAGTGGTTAAAGATCTTCACAGCATTCCGATATTGAAGACATTCTTTTTGGTGATGTTATTAGACAAAATATCTATCACTTGTGGTGTGATTCTGTCACTCAGGCAATCTACTATGGCTGATTTCTTAGATTTAAAAAAAAGAACATTGTTGCATATATCATTTCTTACTGGAAACCAAATGAGTGTGAGGACAAGCTGTTGAGTATGATATGAATAAATATCAACTGTCAGCAGATATCATACGAGGTGATTTGGTGTTATCATGAATAAATTATAACATGGGGGTGATGTGTGCGTGTTGTTAAATCATAAGGTATATTAATGCTGATAATATATTTATACAATTTTGTTATTAGACATTGTTTAGAGTATATAGCCTTTTAACTCTAAATGTTATAGGTGCTTAGAGTTAATATATGTTTTAAACTTAAATTAGTCAGTTTAATGAAAATCATCTGCAATTATGCGTTACTTAAATATATAGAATAATGTAAATGATAATATGATTACATACTAAGTATATTATGTAAGTATATTTTGTAGCATATTAATTTAAGTAAAATGCTTTTGTTATATTGAATGTGATTTAGAGATGTTAAAAGTTAGTTCAATTTATTAGCAAAGTTTTGATTCAGAACAATGAGCTTTGAATAGATGATACAAGATCAATGCTTTAACGAGATGATACGCATCTTTGGACTTCTTATTAGGCAGTTAAACTCTTCAAAAAAGAAAATGGCTACTTTCATAGCCACAATTCTCTTAAGAATATTATTAGGCAAATAAATGATTGCATAATCAAGATATTTTATTTGGGGTAATAAGTAATTAAATTAGGCAGCCGTGGTTGGAGCTAAAAATACAAACAAGATCTCTTTACTTTATTTGTATCTTTTTACTTTAAAAACTTTAATTGGTACCATTTTGTGTGTATTTAAATAAAAAATAATAATAGGACAATTAAGCCTGTAAAAAATTCTAAAATCGGTCACAGTTTTCTGAAATAATCCTTGTACTTAAACTTTGTCACTTAAATGCTCATAACTTTTTATAGAATCATCCAATTTTAAAAGTTTTCATTGTAATACTAACTAGAAGCTCTTTCTAAAGATATATAACATTTTATTATACAAACATTTTGTAATTTTTACACACATGCCTACACATAAAACCTATGAACTATAACATATATACTTTTATTGTTGTTCTTTATTATTATACTAAAAAGACAAAAAAAGAAATGAAAATCTATTAATTATATAACATTTTTTGTTAAATACTTAATAGATTCCAATTTCTCTGATTTCTCTTTAATTTTTTCACAAAATCAACCAAATTCCCCTGATAGTTCCCTTATTTTCTTCAAGTTATCTGAATTCTCTGGCTTTTCCTTGTTTTCCCTGATCCCGCAGACAGCCTGTACTAATTTTGTAAATAGATTTTTATTTTACGTGTATTCTGACCTCAACTTTGATTTCATCTTCAACTTATGTTGAGTAGAATTAAATGAGTTATTTTTAAAGAAAATATTAATTGGAATTTTTAAGGAGACAAAAGTTTAAAACGTTGACAAAATAATTTCCGCAAGGTCTCGTAATATCTTTGAAAAACTTTGAAAATTGTTTTAAAAATTTACCTTCTAATCCTTCTAAAGCAAGTTCTTCGATTGCAGTATCAATTAAATCCATTAAAAATAATCATGAATATTATTCTTTTACTTTTAAATTTCATTAAATGTCAGTTTAAAAAAGCAAAACTCAAATTTTTGATTATAAAAATGTCTTTGCTGTGTCATAAACTGGATACTCAGCAACATTCATTAAAAAATTATTTTTATTTTAATTAATATAAACGCACGAGGTAACTAAAAATAAATATAAAAGTTTTTTAATAAATTTTATTAAGTACTAATCTACAATGCTTGCTTAAAACTCACTCCGTCGCTTAATAGTGTGACTCGATTAAAAATCACTCGAAGAAAAAGTGGCTTTTGTAGAAAGAAGCAATAAGTGTCGCGACGCTTAGTGCTCTGTATGTTCTGCGTAAAATATTTAATGGTTCTCGGATTAATAACCTACAATAAAAATTTCTATTATGGGTGTAACTTCTTATTTACCCGTGCATATACCGAGATGCTATACCACCTCGTTTGTATGGAGTCATAAAAGTCCACAAGGCTAAAAAACAAACTACCCGATGCGAGTTATCGTAAGTACTATTGGAACGGCTACTTACAAAATTTTAAAATTCTTAACTGGTATGGTACAACCCATCCTCAATAAAAACGATACGCATTTAAAAAACTCTCAACAATTTGTAAACTTAGCTAAATCATGGAATGTTGACGAAGATGAAATCCAAGTGTTTAATGATATCATTAATTTATATCTTTCAAATAAAGAAAGCAATAATTGCCCTTATTGAGGGATTAAAAAATGATCCTAGCTTTACATCAAAACTAACCTTTGATGAAATAAAAGTACTTTTAGATTTTTTAATACTTTTACCTTTTGCATTGTTATTTTTTATTTGAACACGATATTTATGAACTAGAAGATTCTGTATCTATTGGTTTAGGACTTTTAGTAGTAGTAGTGGAGTATTTTTTACAGTTTCACGAAAGTAATGCTATTGCACAAGCGATTTCTAATAACATTCATGTAAAGTCATTTAAAAGATATGTCGATGATTCCCATTCTCGTTTTAACTCTACTGAAGATGCGAAAAACTTTTTAATATTACTTAATAAACAACGTAAAAATATTCAGTACACCATGAAAATCGAAAATGAAAGCTTAACTTTCTTGACATAACTATTATTAATAATAAAACTGGTACGTACGATTTGAAAGTTCACCATAAAGATGCAATAACGTCTAAATCAAAGCTAACTCGTGTCACGATCCAAAAATTATAAACGGAATTTTCAAAGGATTTGTTCATAGGGCATTATATTTATTGATAATAATATTGAACAAGAGTTATTATTTCTAATTAATGTTTTTGTAGAAAATAGTTATAAAAAAACAAGCCTGAAAAATATTATAAAAACCACTTAAGAAAATTTACATAATAAAAAACAAATTATTGAAACTCATCATTTATCAATTTCAAAAAATATTGTATCCTTACCGTGAATTCCAGTAATTAGTCCGAAGTTAAAAAAAGTTTTCAAAAAAGCAGGTTATACACCAGTCTTTAAATCACTAAGATATTTACAACATATGCTCATCAAAAAAATAAATCTCCTCTTCTAATAACTTATTACGCAGGTGTGTACAAACTTAAATGCTCCTGCAAAATATGTTATATAGGTGAAAAAAATAAAAAAATTTCACCTCGCATTTATCAACATCAGAAAAATACATGTGAAGGAAAATAGGATTATTCAGCAATAGCGGAGCATTCAAAAAATTGTCAAGGTAATTTTACATGGAACAATAATGGTAAATTTATACAATACGCTGCATGTTTTTACACACAAATATGTACAGTGTTAAACATTTACAAACAGTTAGAAAAAAAAGATAAAAACGTAACAACTAACAATAATATTAGAAAAGGATAATTTTCGTTTCGTGCCGTTTTTACGAAAGAAAAAAATATCATATTGATTTATATCGTATTTTTACGTAAAACTTGTTTCGTTTCGTACCGTATTTTTACAAAATAAGAAAATTGTGTTTCGTTTCGTATCGGTTTTTACGGAACATTTCAAAATTTCCCCACTCCAAACAGATATTTTACAATTCCCACAACCCGAGCAATTCATGAACTATAACATCCAAGCAGAACAAATGCCCGTTTGATAATCACTAACTTAATGTTTTGTAAACGAAAGTTTAACTAAAAAGTTTAACTTTATTTTGTTTCGTACCGGTAATTTCGTACTTTATTTAGTTTAACCTTGTTTCGTTTTGTATCGGTTTTTACAAAACAAAATATTATTGTTCCGATTTGTACCGTCTTTTTCACAAAACAAAAAAATTTTGTTACGTTTTATACCGTTTTTTGCGAAATTGTATTTAAATTGTTTCGTCATGTACCGTTTTTATCGAAATAATATTTTTTATCGTTTCGTCTCGTTTCGTCTTGTACCGTTTTGAGACACAGATGCTTAAAAATAACAATAACAAAAAAGATTAAAAATAAGAAAAAAAAAACTAATATTGAAGTACTGCTATCAAAAAATCAAAACAAACACACTCACACGCACACACACACACACACATACATATATATATATATATATATATATATATATATATATATATATATATATATATATATATATATATATATATATATATATATATATATACACTTTTACATACTGAAACACACATACGCGCCTATATACACATCTCCTATACGCGCCTATACTCACATAGAAATGTATACATACACATATAGATATACACTTTTCAAAATATATACAACTTTAAAAATGTGTGACCAACACTAAACAAACTATAAGGAAAAAATAGTAATAAGACAGGACAATACAAACATTGAACAAAAAAAAACATGATAACTGAGGGCGGATCTAGCATTTTAAATGGTTGATGAGAAATTTTTTTATCGACATATGATAAAAAAATTTCTCATCAACCCCCCCCCCCCCAACCTCCCTAGAATTTAGTCAATTTAAGTGTATGCTATTTGAATCAGAAATTAGACACGTAATTTTAAGTTTAACTTATTAAACAAAGTGCACCAACGAGAAGGTAAGTCATAAGTATTTGCACTTCATCTGTATACTGTCATTTTGCCTATAGTTAGCCCTCTATTTCTAAATTCTTTACTTTTCTTAAGAGGCACGTAGTTTAAAGTAATGTTGCCTAAGGTTAACCCTCACTTTCTGGATTCTTCTATTTTCTTGATAGGCACGTCATGTTAAGTAATATTAGGTTATTTATTAATGTGAAGTAATATTAGGTTAATTAAGTAACATTATAATAATACAGGTTAGCCGTCCATTTCTTGTTTCTATCCTTTTCTCGATAGCAGTTTATGTAAAGTATTAGTAATCTTGTTTAAGGTAACCCTTCATTTCTGGATTCTTTCCTTTTCTTTATAGGAATTTTTTTTTTAATTTTAAACTGTTTGTTTTTTTAAAAACTTTTGTTACATTTTTTTTATTGAAGTTGAGTTAGTATAAATTAAATATAGGCTTATAGTCTGTCTGTCTGTCTGTATATATATACAATATATATATATATATATATATATATATATATATATATATATATATATATATATATATATATATATATATATATATATATATATATATATATATATATATATATATATATATATATGGTTAAAATACTAATAGTTGTGTTCGAGGGTTTGGTGCTCCCCATAAATCCTATAAGAATATGAACAGATCGTTTTTAGAATATAGGGGGCGGTTGTCACACCCTACTATATATATATATATATATATATATATATATATATATATATATATATATATATATATATATATATATATATATATATATATATATATATATATATATTATATATATTTATGGATTTATGGGGAGCACCAAACCCTCGAACACAACTATTAGTATTTTAACCATTTTCGTTTGGTGTTTCCTTAATATTAGTAATATTACTAATTGTAAACAATTTTTTATTGTAACCACTAACTACCCAGTGGGCACCGGACCAAAAAAAGACGTCTTTTGAACGTCCAAAAGACGTCCAAAACATTCAAAAGACGTCCAAAACGTTTAAAAGACGTTTTTTTTACTTCCGTGTCCACTGGGTATTTCAGGAATATATTGATTATTATATATTAGGGGTGCATTGATGCCTACTTTTGGCAGATGCCGATTGGTACAGGTTGATGCATCGGCATCAGCCCTATATTTAAAGTTGCACTTTTTTCTTTTTTTACTAATAGGTAAAGGAACCCCCTTTTTTTTTATGATAAAAAATATTTCGAAAGGTTTAGTAGTTTGTTTTTTTTAATTACCTATGGAAGGATAAAAATTCACAAAGTCATAAATGGTAGAATATTATTTTGATTTTAAGTGTAAATTTTTGATTTTAAGTGTTCATTTCTTTTTTGATTTTAAGTGTTCATTTGACTTTTTAAAAATTTTGTAAATTTTTAAAAAGTCTCATTTTTCCAAAACGTTTAAAAAACGCAACATATGTTCAACGTTATTTTTTTGATGTTGAATTAATGTTGACATTTTAACACCGTTACCTTGTTTCCAAATCAACGTTTGTAAATCAACGTTAGTTCAACGTCAATTTATTGATATTAAACAACTATAGTTGTTCAACATTAATATCAATTGAATACTAACACAGCAAGCATTTTGACGTTGAATCAACGTCAAAATGCTAGCTGTGTAAATAACATTGCAGCCACTTTAAATTACAGTGAACTACTACATAATTAAGTAGTTTTTAGATAAGAATCCCGTTGACAGTATAAAATACTTTAGATAGATTTCAAAAAATTCTGAGTGTGTAACTATTGTCTTCGAAACTTGATTCACAAGATCAATAATTGCATGTTCCGTGGAATGGTTTTTGCAAAAACCAAACTGTTTATGATAAAGAATGTTATTTCAACAGTCTGTTGTGCATAATAATCTACAATCTTTG